CGCACGGCGAAGTTCCCCGGCAGAGTCGGGCAGGGCAGCGGTGCCCGGGCAGGAAGGCCTGTCCGCAGGGGAGAGCGTGGGTCGCACCACAGGCAGGGTGGCGGGCGCAGAAGCGTCGTCTGGGATGCGTTGCCCAAAGAAGGGCCCTCGTCTGCTTATGTGCTCCTCCTAAATAACCGCAGGGCTCTGCTGCCATCCCAGGCACTGAACAGCCAGACACAGCTGTAGAGCGGTCGATGAGGGGACGGGCATCAGGGCGCTGTACTGCAGGAGAGACTTTAATATTATATATATGTAACAAAACCCTTGCAAATTATGTGCACGCTTGCGTTGTATGTGTAAACTAAGACAGCAGGAGGACAAAGGTAGAAAAACATTTTCTCAAAACATGATGCAGGAACAATGCCCACTTTGGGCACAGATCTCTATTGTCGCTCAGTTCACGGAGGTGTAAATAGTGTAACAACCCAGGACTTGGTCTGGCTTCTTTTTCTCCCTGTTAGTGCAGACGCTCCTCCATCGGTGCTGAAACCCAAGCATGCTACCCACACAGCGCTCCACACCCTTCCAGATGCCTCTGCTCCAGCTGTACCCTCCGCAGACCTGCAGCCAGAGCTGCTGCATGGTACATCTCCATGGACCAGATCTACCTTGAGGCACGTCCCATGGTCTTTGTTACACTCCTAACACGGTGGGTGGTCCCAGGACTTGTTTTCCAGGCAGAGTCTGAGTGTAATTGCATGGAATATTCAAGCAGTTTAACCCACAATCACTCTGTTTTAAATAACACAACAAACAGTGCAAGACAACACAATAAAATATGCCTGTATCATTCCTACCACAATTTCCCCACTGTTAAGATTTGTTTGTGGTTTGGCATCGGCACAGTGTCCTCCTGTTGTCTAAAATGGCTGAGAGATCCTCCTTTGACAACTTCACCTCCCTTCAAGGAGGTGACAGCATTTCTGTTCCAGGTCCTTAATTAACAGCTTATATGGGAAGAAACGTAGGCCACATCTACACCCAGCAGGAGACCTCTTTGAATGCAAGATTAACAAGTTTAATAAATAGTTATCTCCATTAAAAAAAAAAAAAAAAAAAAGACCAGAAAAGCAGCCAGCTTTATTATGGAGCTTCAGTTTGATAAAGATAGATACAGAGTTCATACATTTTACCTGCAAATTATAAATCAAACTTAGACTTTTTCTCCAAATTATAGCCCATTTCCTTCTAAATTACCTGTTCCTCATCTCTAGGCATTCTGTAACTTCAGTGCTCTAGAGGGTACATTTGTCTTTCCTCTTTGTTCATATTTTTCTGTGGTTTACGGTGTCATGTGTGTGATATATTACAATCCTGTATGTCCTCGCAGGCTTCTCAGCAAAGCATTGCTGAAAACAGCATCTTGTTTGCACTGGCAAATAGCAAATAATGAAAATTAAATGAACAAGAACTATCATTTAAACCTACTAATTAAAAGAATCGTTAATGATATTAGGAACTCCATCATTTTCATAGTGTTGTTAATAGTTAAAGCTATACAACTGCTAGTGTAGATGAACCAAACATAATCTTTTTCCCAGTTCTGCTTCTCATTTGCAGAATTTCTCTCCTCCATTTTCTTGGTCTTGTAGTACTCCAGACTCAGAATGCTCTTGCAGAAAGAGCTCCGCTTGTAAGAAAGATAACCCTCTGATAGCCCTCAATTTTGAGGGATGTCACTCATTTTAATCCCAACGCTGCTCGCACTCCCCACAAACATAAGGTTTTAATTTTTATTGATGATAATTATTCAAATTAGAAGTAAACATTCATGAAAGAGAGGTTATTAAAACAAAAGGAACTCTCAATGTTTCCAGCTCTTACGATTTTATCAAATGTCTGATGAAAGCTGGTGTTTTTCAGAAAGACCAAGCACTTGGATGAGAATAACCACTTTCTTTTGAAGTGAAAGAAAGATTCAAGGGAATAAATAAAAAATAAGCTGAAATGTGCCTTGAGTATGCTTGATAGGATCAGAAAGGAAATAAAAGAACCCAAATATGTATTTTTAAATAATCACTTTTAGTACCTGATATCAAGCCTTCTGGCAGCTTCTTCAGCTTTCCTCATCTCCTCTGTCTTACCAGTGGTTACTGCGACACTCCTATGTAACAGTCCCAGTCAGGACCAGGTTACTCTGCTAGCCTCTGGCCAGACAGGTATTGAGATGTGGTTCCTGCCTTAACTCAGACAAACAAGTCAAGAAGAAGATGACAGAAAAGAAGTACTATCATCCTAGTTTATAAATAGGAAACTGAAGAGAGAAGCAATTGCCTTGCCCAAGAAAGCTGAAGTTTCAAATACATGCAGGAAGCGAAATTGCGGGTTTCAGGCGTACCAACGCACTGCTCTCACTGCGAAACTAATGAGGTGTCTTGATTCTTCTCCTACCTGCTGCAGTAACTGCTTTTGCACCATCACCTTGCCAACATCAGAAGAATACAGTATTGTCATTGAACGTCTGAGAAAAAAAATAATCTCTCAACCTTCCTCTTCAGCTACCATCCCGTTGTCTTTGTCTCTAGATCCGTTATCTTCTTTGCTTTCTTCCTCTATACATTCACTAGATAAACTTATCTGCTTCTAGTGTTTCATCTCCCTTCTCTGCAATTCTGCTTTGTGATCAATCTTTCCCTCGGTATCTTGAGTTCATCTGTCTTTTCACCAGATTACCCTCCGCTTCTCTAAGCATTTTCTGCATTTCATTAAGAAGGCTCCAGACTTTCTAAAAAACCTTTTTTTTTTTTTGCCTGGACAAATTACACAGTCAGAATCAGATCCGAGCTACTGTGGCTCTTTGATACAACTACTCAGGTAAACATATGTAGGAGATTTAACCAATAGTTTTCACTTGTAGGAGATTTAATCAACAGTTCTAAAACACAGCTTTCAGAAATCAGTGTCTTTGTCAGACATTAAGAAAGAAAACAACCTGGTTTTTTATCCATAGGTAAGCCAATTAATGGATCACTTCAAATTTTGCTGCCTATTTTTGTCAACATTTGTCTACTGCACTAACATCATCATTACATCCGTGTCCAACTCTAAAGAAATATATGATTAAAAAACCAGTGTAAATTCTTGAGATCTGGACAGGCTACATAACTGAAATGTAATGAAAACATGTAGTGCTTGTCCCCTGAAGGATGATTCAATCTGATCCACAGATGTTTCAGGGTTCCATTTAATCAGGGTTTAAATACCACTGAATGAGGATATAACCTATCATAGATAAAACATCCACTTTAGTACTTTTGGAAATTTATATTGGCATTATTCTATTTCATGTTCTTGCTAATCTGATGATAGGTAAATACATGCTAAAACCCTCATGCACACATTTTGGAGGAAGCATCTGCTGTTTGTGGGGGGTACTATTAGCATTTATCTGTTCCCCTATTTGTTTTCTTTCCTTTGCTTTTGCCTTTCCTTTTTAGAGGCTGCTTTTTGTCCATTTGTATTCCAGCTGTGCCTTCTCAATTTTCTCGGGTTCATTGCTGGTTTCACTGTCCTGTATCAGCTCTTCTACTTCACATGCATGATCTGTCAGCAGGACAATATGATCTGCAGATCAGAAGCAGTTTAGCAGTTATTCATTTATGTTGAATCCCTTTGTGCCCAGTCAAGTCCGTGAAGGACACATCTTAGGCAAACAACAAAGATCTTTAAAGTGATGGTGTTTCTTTTTTCCTCTTCAACCGTTTTGGACCTTCAATGTATTATATTCCTTTGTGTATTAGATGCTGCATGTAACATTAAAATTGGAGACAGTCTTTATTTATTTTTTTTTAAGCTATTGTATGACTGTTAGCTGGTGCAACTGGATGCTGGAGTTCAGAGTAGAGTAGCTCCTCTAGAGAGAGAGTGGAAAAAAGAGAATTTGGGGGAAGAGATGGGAACAGACTGTGATCTGCACAAACCAGCTCTGGGAAGGAGCTAGGTGGTGAGGTCTGGCTGAAGGAAGGAAGGGAAAAACGATGCAAAGCAGCAGCCAAGAGGGAGGAGTGCAGCTAGTGGGTGGGATGCTCATGGAAAGAATTGAGGGGAAAGCTGTAAGGTGGTGGGGCAGAGGAGAGACTGCAAGTTTGAAAACAAACTGATTTTGAAAATGAATGGACACATATAAGCAAGAGAACAATCCTAACTCTGAGGTTTTCTG